TTTTTTTATTTATTTTCTATGAATTTTTTAAGTCTGAAATTTTCCCCCTGTGGGGAAAATTTCAGACTTGATCCCAGATTCTTTAGTAGATAAGCAAGGATTTGATAAAATATTATTTTCAATTACTTCATTAGATAATTTTGATAAACAGTAAAGTGCAGCCCATTGTGATTCTTCTGTCTTTGAATCATCTTTGTAGACCGACAAAAGTGTATTTATTATTCTGGGTGCAAGTGTGTGATATGTATATCCATAGGTATCATAAATATATTTAACGATATCACTTGCTAATAATCTAACTTCACGTGTTGGTGATTTTCCTATCACACAGGTAATAACGGATGGTATCATTTCATGCAAATATGGATCAATAAATAAAAACTTGTTATTAAACAGGCTGTAATACATCAAACAGATTGTCTTTGTGTACTCTTCATCAGTTATTTTATTTTTTAACTCAGCATTGAAATGATGAATAAAATAAGGAACTAACTGTTGTATACCTGTCTCATTTTCAAGACAGTTTAAAGCAACATCAGGATCAGATTCCATCACTTGGAGTATTTTTTCATAATACATATTTAGTTCTTTAGTAAGTCTATGTTTTACTTGTTTTTTTAAAATCATCTCATCTTGATAGTTTGAGAAACTGTCAGTCTGTCCTGCTGGTTTATCAATCACAATAGGATTTTGTTGAATTGATGGTTGTATACCTTCAAGTACCAACCAGTGACTTTGAATGTATGGTCTTAGTGGTATTCTAGGCAATGACTTTTGTAGAAATTCTTCAAGATTAATCTCTTCGTCTGCTACATAATAAGAGTTGTTCTGTAACCCTTTAAACACCAAAATATCCTTTGAATCATACCCAAACAACGGCTCTAGATTTCTACTTATTAAAGCATTATTTACATCACTAACACACAATTTAGATCTATGAGATGCATGCATAAATTTAGCAGCTTCCTGACAAACCTCTTTTATTCTATATTCTATGTCTTGTGCCAATATTCTGTAACCCTCTTCGTCTATTTCACCAATCCCGTCTGCATCTGCAAATTCTCTTATTGTATCCTTTGATATGAGCATTAATAAATTTGTGGGTAAAAAAGAATTTAATTAAGTTTATTCTACGAGTTTTGTATTTTTATCATATTCAATCACTTTCTCAATACTAAACTCAATTCTAGGTCCTATTTCTGACACATTGTCAACTAAATAATGTCTAAAATATATTATATCATCATTAGTCAAAAATGATATTATTCTTTCCTTATTATACTTTTTTTCATCAGTTAAACTTAATTCTTTTTTAGATAAAAAAACGTCTTCTAAAACATTTTTTAGATCTTTTAAGAAACTACACTCATCAAAATCCTTTCCAAAATATATTTCATAACCCGCCTCTTTATGTCCATTAAATAAAGTAGCCAGTTCAAAAATTGTTGTAAATGATTCTAAATTACATTTAATTGCTTTCTTTCCGCTAATAAACCAAATGTAATTAGTCTTTTTAGTTATTTCAAAGAAAATGGCAGTGTTACAATCATTAAGATACATATAATCATAAACATCAGATAATGACTTTCTATCACTAACTTTAAATTCTACTTTACAATCAAATATTTTGTTTAAGTCATTAATAAGAAAATTAGTTCGTTTATCAGAACTTTTTGTTGTTGTAAGTAAAAATGTCATGGGTTAAAAAATTTTATAGAACAAAACCCCAATGGATAAACTAACTAGATTTCATAAAAGTTGTAAAAAGGATTTTCAAGCAATTCTTAAAGAATTTAATTTACTATTTTATGGTTATGGCTGCAAGCAGAAGTTACTAAGGAGTATGTTTCCAAATACACCGATGTTTAACTGTAAGTTTCGTAGTTTGAAAGAAATAATGGAAGAATTAATTTTGACTGGTGTTATTGATGTGGAGGGTAATACAATTGCTAAAATTGATAAGAAACTAAAAAAG